CCCCCCCCAACCAGCTCATGCATCAACCCAACTCCAACTATTAGTATTGATGAGAAGAGGCCGTTAAGATTAATTATTTTCCATTAGCTTACATAATCAGCTATATTAGCTTTGCTAGAGTTAGTTAGTTTAGTGGTTAAGTACAGTTAGTTAGGAGTAGTGATAGCTGTCAGTTTGTTAAGTTAGTTAGCTTTGTCTTTACACTCTTGCATATAGTGGGAGGAGTTCCACTTAGTCGTGTAATTCAATTCAATAGAGAAGAATCTCTCTTTCTTCCAGAATGTTCATCTATCCATTTTCTCCTTCTTCTATTTCGACTACCATTGATCTCAAAGTATGAAGCTTCCGCCATTGATGCTGGTGCACTCTCAGCTCAGCAAATGTGGAAGACTACTGTTTCATTGGTAGAATTTTGATATGGTATCAGAGCGAGGTCAGAAGTTCCGATTCATTCTTCCAGATCTATTAAATCTAGATTGATCATCCTCAATTTTGTTTTGATCATACGCATGCATTTTTATTCTTATCGATTTCAACTCATACCTCTTAAAATTCTCTGTCAGAATTCTAGATCTATTTAGAAATTTTCTGTTGGTTAGTTAGCTGAATTTCACACCTAGTAAGAGATGGCTACTATCGGAGGTAATGAACAATCTACGTCGACCATAGCTGAATCTCCTAATCAGCCAATTATTGACACTAGTAGTCCTTTTTACATGCATCCCTCCGATAATTCGGGAATAGCACTAGTTCCTGTTCCATTTGATGGATTTGGTTATCGCTCATGGAGAAGAGGTATGATGAGAGCCCTATCAGTGAAAAATAAACTAGGCTTCATCAATGGGGACTGTAAGAGGCCGGATCCAGACTCCTCAAGCTATCGATTGTGGGAGAGATGTGATGATATGGTGACCTTATGGATTTTGAATTCCTTGGAAAAGGAAATTGCAGATAGTGTTGAGTATGTGACAGATGCAATCGAGTTGTGGAAAGACCTTGAAGATCAACATGATCAAACAAATGGAACAAAACTTTACCAGATACAAAAGGTGATTAATGATTTGTCCCAAGGAGCTCTGGACATCACTGGCTACTATACAAAAATGAAAAAGCTATGGGAATAACTTAATACTTTGATTACTAGATCTCATTCCACCTATAATTGCACATGTGGAGCAAGGGAAAGTATACACAAAGCAGAACAGGACAGAAGGCTAATACAGTTCCTTATGGGACTAAATGAGACCTACACTGTGGTCCGAGGCAGTATCCTTATGATGAATCCTCTTCCCACAACTGCACAAGCTTTCTCACTGCTGATCCAAGAGGAAAGACAGAGAGAAATTAAGCCTCATAACCACTTAGCTCTTGAGTAATCAGCCCTAAACATCAACACAAGTAGGACAATATCGTTTAACACAAATTACTCTCCTAATAACTCTCACAACTATAGAAACAAACCCTTCTGTGATTACTACAAAAGGCCAGGACACACAAAAGAGAAGTGCTACAAACTTCATGGTTATCCTCAAGGCTTCAATCAAAATCAGAATCCTAATCTAGGCCACAATCAAGCTTCCAGTTTCAATCAAAACCCAAGACAAAACCATAACTATGGGGATAATTCTGGTGTGAACCAAAGTACCAGGTTCAATAGAGGAAATAGAGGAATGGATAATGCACATGTAGCAGCTACAGATACTCAGCATACTGGTGATGAGAACTGCAATACTCAAAATGTGAGTCTCACAAAGGAAGAATACAGTCAACTTGTGAATCTGCTGCAGCAATTCTAATCAGGAGGAGGAAGAGACGACTCAGACAATGTTAACACTTCATCAGTAAACTTTGCAGGTATCATAGCGTGCACCTCCTCTATTGATTTTGGGAAACTCTCATGTGAATGTTTCAAAAATAAGGCTGATTCATGGATTATAGACTCAGGGGCATCAAATAATATGACTTTTAATAGATCCTTATTAACCAATATAGTAACTCTACCCTATCCTATACTTGTCATTCTCCCAAATGGTTACAAAGTGAAGGTGACTGAGATTGGTAATGTTGTACTTACTCCTAAGATCACTCTGAAAAGGGTAATGCTTGTTCCTTCTTTTAGATATAACCTAATTTTTTGTTCGCTCTTTAACCTCTCACCTTAGTTGCCTTGTTGCCTTCATTAAGCACTGTTGTATACTGCAGGCCCCTTCAATGAAGAGGGCCTCTGGTGATTGGTAAAGTTAAAGATGGACTTTACATCTTATGCCCAAGGTGTTTGAAGAACAACAGTGCAAGTTCTGGAGCTAATGCCACTCATTTATTGTCCATCCCTGTCACTCACTGCACTTGTAACACACAATGTCAACTTCATTCTCTTGTAGATACATCATCTCATGTCAATAAATGTGTTCTTTCATCCTCAATTGTAAATGTTCAAGTGCAGGNTAGTTCAAGTGCAGGTATTGAAGAACAATTTCTTTCTGTGAATTCATCATCTAATTCTTCTAGTGCATTTTCTCATCTGTGTGTTGGAGATAGTATAGATGTTCTGTGGCATAACAGGCTTAGACATGTTCCTTTTGTAAAAATGAAAAATATCTCCTCCATTCTTGTAACCTTTTCTTCCAAACAAACTTTTAATTGCACTATTTGCCCAATGTCTAGGCAGGAAAGACTTCTATTTCCTCAGAGAACCAACACAACTAACAAGATTTTTGAGCTCCGACATGTTGACTTATGGGGACCATATCATGTGCCCACACATGATAAGTACAAATATTTCATGAGATCGGAAGNAAGTACAAATATTTCATGACCATTGTGGATGACTTCAGTAGGTCCACTTGGACTCATCTCCTATCCAGTAAGAGTAATGCCCATCAAGTAATTAAGGGATTCATTAGCCTGGTGGAAAACCAGTTTGGAGTGAATGTCAAAGCTATGAGAACAGACAATGGACTAGAGTTCACTAATGCAGAAACAAACATGTTATTTCAATCCAAAGGTATCATACATCAAAGAACTTGCCCCTACACTCCACAACAGAATGGTGTAGTGGAAAGAAAGCACAAGTACCTCCTTGAAACTGCTAGAGCTCTCCTCTTCCAATCTAAGCTGCCCCTAAGGTATTGGGGTGAATGTATTCTTTGTGCAACCTTCATTATAAACAGACTCCCTTCCACTTCTATTAATGGTCAAACTCCATATGAACTGTTGTACAAAAGAAAGCCAAAGTACTCTCTCCGAAAAAGTTTTGGCTACCTGTGCTATCCCACTGTACCTAGACCTCACAGAGACAAATTTTAACATAGAACAACACCACATGTATTTGTTTGCTATCCCTTGAACACAAAAGGATACAAGGTCCTAAGTCTAGCCACTAGAAAAAATCACTGTCTCCAGAGATGTAGTTTTCAATGAATCTATCTTTCCATTTGCAACCAACATGAATATATCTTCCTAATCATGTGTCCCTCATTCAATTCCTTTTATTGAACCTCTATGTGAGGAACCTTCTGATAGTACAAACATTACACAACAAACATCTGAATACTTGAGTGCTCAAAGGAGTAATGTTGACAACACAACTAATCTCATGTCACCTACACATGATCACTCCTCATCACCCTCCATAGTGCCTAATTCTCCAATACAATTTTCATCACAAGACCATACTGAACAACCTCATACAAAACCCATGCAACTGAGATAGTTCTCAAGAACACACAAGAGACCTAGTTATTTGCAAAACTATATACATTCCCTACCTAAACTTAAGCCAAATCCTAACTCCCTTAATGCATTATATTCTATGAACCATCATGTTGCCTCTGATCTCTTAACTCCTAACAGTTAAGTTCTTGTGAGAAATGTTTGTCATGATAGGGAACCATCATCATATGAGGAAGCAGATATTGATCCTGCATGGCAAGCTGCAATGACACAGGAATTTGAGGCTCTATATTCCAACCACACTTGGGACCTAGTAGTCCTGCCACCAGGGAAGCAAGCAATAGGATGCAAGTGAATTTGCAAAGTGAAGCATAAAGCTGATGGCAGTATAGAAAGGTTCAAGGCCAGATTAGTTATGAAAGGCTACACACAACAGGCAGGAATTGACTACACGGAGACATTCTCCCCAGTGGTGAAGATGACAACAGTGGGGGCATTAATAGCCACAGCAGTGAAGAAGGGGTGGTGTATATCTCAGCTAGATGTAAACAATGCCTTCCTCCATGGAGACCGTAATGAGGAAGTATATATGCAGATTCCACCTGGACTTGTTGTGGATAAACCTGGACTGGCATGCAAATTAAGCAAGTCTCTCTATGGTTTAAAGAAAGCCAGTCGACAGTGGTATGCAAAGCTGACTGAGGCTTTGTGCTCTAAAGGATACACACACTCCATGAATGACTACTCACTCTTTTATAAGAAAAGTGGAAATTCCTTGATATATGTTGCAGTATATGTGGATAATGTACTACTTACTGGAACTGATCAGAAAGAGATCACACAATTGAAGAACTACCTACATGAACAGTTTAAGATCAAAGAGCTGGGCCAACTACACTACTTTCTAGGGCTGGAAGTGATGTACAAGGATGATGGTGTAATAATTTCTCAAAGGAAATTTGTGTTGGACATGTTGAAGGAGCATAACTGCCTAGATTACAAGCCTTCTTCTTCCCCCTTAGATCCCACAATGAAGCTTAAAGCCAAAGAAGGTACCATCCTACAGGATCCTACATACTACAGGAAACTAGTAGGTAAGTTAAATTTCCTCACTATCAGCTGACTGGACATTGCATATAGTGTTCAACACTTAAGTCAGTTCATGCAAGAGCCCAGGGAACCTCATTTGAAGGTAGTTTTCCATCTGCTTAGATATCTGAAAAGTGATCCCACTCTGGGAATCTTCATGTCTAAGGATACAGACTGCACAGTCAAGGCATATTGTGACTCTGATTGGGCAAGTTGTCCAGATTCCAGGAGATCCATCACAGGCTATTTGGTGCTTCTGGGTAATAGCCATGTTAGTTGGAAGTCCAAGAAACAGGAAACTATATCACTATCTTCTGCAGAAGCAGAGTACAGGGCTTTGAGGAAAGTAGTGGGGGAACTGGTATGGTTGAGCAGGCTGTTTGAATTGAAGAACTAGATGTCCCTTTCCTAATGCCTATTTCAGTGTTCTGTGACAGTCAATCTGCATTTCACATTGCCAAGAATATAGTATTCCACGAAAGAACCAAACACATAGAAGTGGACTGTCACTTTGTGCGCGACCAATTACAAGCAGGACTAATTTCACTCCACCACATTGGAACAGATAGTCAACTGGCAGATATTTTGACTAAAGCCTTAACTGGAATCAAACATAGTGCCACATTGGGCAAGTTGGCTGTTTTTGCAACACCTCCAACTTGAGGGGGGTGTTAAGATTAATTATTTTGCATTAGCTTACATAATCAGATATATTAGCTTTGTTAGAGTTATAGCCCGTTTGGCCAAGCTGCAAAAATCAGCTTATTTTGAGAAGTGCTTTTTTTCAAAAGTGCTTTTCTCAAAAATATTATTGGTGAGAAGCAGTTTGTGTTTGGCTAATTAGTTTGAAAAGCACTTCTGAGCAGCAATTAGTGTTTGGCCAAGCTTTAAAAAATTGCTTCTAAGTTTATTTTTCTCAAAAGTGCTTCTCAAAAAAGTGCTTTTGGAGAGAAGCTACTTTTTTCTGCTTCTCCTCAAAAGCACTTTTTTCCTTCCAAAAGCTTGGCCAAACACCACAATTTTTGGCCAAAAGTGCTTTTGGCAAACAAAAAAAAAGCACTTTTGGCCAAACAGGCTATTAGTTAGTTAGATTAGTGGTTAAGTACAGTTAGTTAGGAGTAGTGACAGCTATCAGTTTGTCTTAGTTAGTTAGCTTTGTCTTTACACTCTTGCATATAGTGGGAGGAGTTCCACTTAGTCGTGTAATTCAATTCAATAGAGAAGAATCTCTCTTTCTTCCAGAATGTTCATCTGGCCATTTTCTCCTTCTTCTATTTCGACTACCATTGATCTCAAAGTATGAAGCTTCCGCCATTGATGTTGGTGCACTCTCAGCTCAGCAAATGTGGAAAACTACTGTTTCATTGGCAGAATTTTGATAGAGGCAATAGAAAAAAATTAAATTCAACTGCATTGTCAACGGTTTGTGGCAAAATATACAACAATTACTATTTCGAGTAACATTTTAAGAAATTATATATTTTTCTTAAAATTTAGAACTTACAAAATGTCTCCTAAGCTATCTTGTCAAAAGTTGTTGGTAAAAATAAAATTATAACGTTATTTGTGATGTTGATGATTACAGTCATGGAATTTGCGTGGAGTATAAGTTCTATGACAACAATCCCAAACTTCTGGAAATACACACTTTCTTTATTGTTATGCTTTCTTTGTTCATCTATATGTTAGGATTTTTCAAAAGTTATAATTATCTTTATTAAAAGCTAATAATTTATAAGTTACACTATAGAAGGGTAAATCTTTTAAGTTCTGGTGGTGAGAAATCATCTCTTTGATTATGAATTTGTCACCAAAGATGAGAAAGGGGTTTGTGGGTTTACATCTCCGGAATGTTACGTGGCAATATTTGACTTGACTCGAAGTTTAAAAATAATTTAAAAGGGGGTTAAAACTTGTAGTTTCAAACCTGTAATGACATTTCTATGTGTGGCTATAAAAGCATGCCATTAAGAGTAAAATGAAAAATTTAAAATTAAACAATAATATAAGTGCCATTCTTTTTAAAATGATTAATAAAGGAAATAGTGTCATATAAATTAGAAAAGAGAGAATAGTTTTAATTGGGGAAGCTCATTTGTACAAATTTAGGTGATTGTGGGATTAAATCTAGCTTATTACAAGGAACAACAATCACTTCAGAAATAATCTAACAACTAATTTCATTGAAGTTGATTGTTGCTAGGACAATTAATTAATATATTATGCTCATAGGTAAAAATGAAAAATTGAACATCAAACTAGTGTACTTTTCTAATTTCTTTAAAAACTAAGTGCTAGTGTAGCCCAACTGCTCAAGTTGTTTTGTTGATATTGATTGGCCAAAATTTCACGGTATAGCCAGTTTTCGGACTGGTCAATCAAAAATAGCCAGCATTTATCAAGTCAATGAAAAATAGCCACCGTTTTGCTGCAATAGAGCCCAGTCCAGCATAATATACTGGAGTTCGGTGCACTTGTGTATGAACTCCAGCATATTATGCTGGACCGGTATACTTTACTGGCTCCAGTATAATATACTGGAGACTGGAGCACTGGTGCTCCAAACTCTAGTATATTATACTGGACCATTATACTTGCTGGAACTCCAGTATATTATGCTGGAGTTCTAGTGCATTTATGCTGGAACTCCATCATATTATGCTGGAGTTCCAGCATACTATCCTGGAACTCCAGTATAATATGTTGGAGTTCAAGTATACTTATGCTGGAACTCCAGCATAATATACTGGAGTATTTTCTGGGTTTTGAACAGTGTTTTCGCTCAGATTTATCTTTACATAAAAAGTAGCTAAATTTCGATTACTTTTGAAATTGGGCTATTTTTGAACGACCAGTTATAAATCTGGCTATTTTTAAGAATCACCCATTGATTGAGCATTTCGATGAATTTTACATCAAAACTCATAAATTTAGAAAGTACTCAGCATAGATAAGTTTCCAAATTAACTAAATGTTTATTCAAAAGTGGTATATGAAATCCAACAAAACTTACAAGTATATAAGACGGTGATGAGGTAGGCTTGCCTATATATTTCTTTTTTGTTTTATTAGTTGATATATCAAAGGGACTTTAAAAATAAAAATGGAGTCAAGAAACTTTAATTACTGGTTCTTTTGTTTGGTTGATTTAGGGTGTATTTGGTATGAAAAAAAATAATTTAAAAATATTTTCCTGAAAAATAATTGGTTTTTATTTTTCCATATTTGGTTGGTAAATGAAAAATATTAAAACAATTTTTAGTATTTTGTAAGTGAGTAGAGAATATTTTATTTTGAAAAATATATAATTTAAACAAATACTATGACGACGAAATGGGCAACAAAGGAGAGGGATATGCGTAGGGTGAGGGTAGGGGTGGGAGGTAAGGGGTGGAATGTGGTGGTGAGGGTGGGAAATAAGGTGTGGGAGGGGATGGGTGGGATAAGGGTCGGGTAGGGTGAGGTGGGGGATGGAATGAGAAATAAAGTGGAGAAGTCTTTACTCTTTGGTAAGAAAAATATTTTCTCCAATAGAAGAAAAATAAATTCCTTAAACAAATATTTTTTTAAATATTTAAGCTAATAAAATAAAAAACTTAAAAATATTTTCAGAAAACATTTTCCTTTCGTATCAAACAAATTCATAGAGTCTGATAGGAGGTTTTGACTCCTTGATAAACCTGACCGAGACCAAATGGGTTTCTCATCGTCTCGATTCTAATAGCCAATTATTTAGCCATCTAAAAATTGAGATAATAAGTCCCAAAGAGGAGTATCTAAATAGTGGCAAGGAGGAGTAGTACTTGTGAAGAATGACTGTCAAAATATAATATAGTAGAAAAATAAAAAGACGCCTCGTCGACTGAGGTTGTGCATAATTTGGTAAATATCGAATTACCGCATCGAATTAAGAAATTTTCGTATTTGGTATTCGACATTTTGGTATTTGGTTTAAGTTTAAAAAAAATAGTATTAGGTATGATATTTGGTATTCAAAAAAAATAATACCAAAATATCGATACCGTACCAAATTAGATAATAAGTTACACAATACACATATTATCAATATAACATACTAAGTTACACACTAATTTTCTTTGAGGCTGGTAGTAATGCCTATGTACTTCTTTAGGAAAATTGAAGAATAATGTAGACTACATATTTTGACTTTTATTCTCTAGGATGCCAAGCAACTTAATGTAATACTTTTACGATTTTAGGGTGTTTCTTCTCATGTATTGAATTGCATCTATTGGATTAGTCCTTGTTGTATTCTTTAAGTTAAGGAATTAGCTCTAAGTAAGTAATAAGACATTTTCAATGATTAAATTTATTTCTTATGTATTATTGTTTCTTTCGATGGGTTGATACTTGCTGGTTTTGGATAAAGAGTTTATTAACAGTGCTTAGAACATTTTTACTTTTATATTTGTGAGCATTTTAATTAAGAATATACAGTCTATGGCTCTATGCGCTAACTAATATTGAAGCCGAACAAACCGAAGTTACCGTACCGAAGAAACCGAAATTGAAATGAAAAAACCGAACCATACCAAATTTAATTAGGTACGGTATTAATATAGATTTTTAAGGAACTGAATACTGAAAATATCGAACCAAAATATTTAAATATCGTACCGTACCGACCGATGAACACCCTAACGTCGACTACTACGAGAAAGTGACGAGAAGTGTACTTGTGTTATGGGCTTGTGGAAAAATTGAGTAGCTATCAAATGAGGGGCTAAAAATGCGATGATGATGATGATAAAATAGGTTAAATGGTAAAGTTAAAAGAACCTATAGGTTGAGAGTTGGATTGTGGAATATAGGGACGTTGACGGGTAAGTCTATAGAGCTGGCGAAGATTCTCCAGAAGAGGAGGGTCAATATAGCGTGTGTGCAGGAGGCTAGGTGGGTAGGATCGAAGGCGAGGAATGTAGACGGGTATAAATTGTGGTTCTCCGGAGTCGTGAAGGGCAAGAACGGAGTGGGCATTTTGGTGGACAGGGAGCTTAGAGAGTCGGTGGTAGAGGTAAGACGGGTGAATGACAGATTGATGGCGATTAAGGTAGTAGTTGGAGGGAGCACTCTGAATGTCATTAGCGCTTACGCACCGCAAACGGGCTTGGACGAGGACGTAAAAAGGCGCTTCTGGGAGGCGCTGGATGAGGTGGTGCGGGGTATTCCACCGACGGAGAAGCTATTCATAGGAGGGGATTTCAATGGTCATATTGGGTCGTCTGCTGGTGGCTATGGTGAGGTGCACGGTGGGTTCGGCTTTGGTGATAGGAACGGGGGTGGTACCTCACTGTTGGATTTTGCTAGAGCTTTTGAGTTGGGGATCGTGAACTCTATGTTTCCGAAGAGGGAGGAACATTTGGTTACTTTCCGGAGTGTGGTGGCTAAGACTCAAATTGACTTTCTCCTCCTCAGGAGGTGTGATAGTGGGTTGTGCGAGGATTGCAAGGTGATCCCGAGCGAGAACCTCGCAACTCAACATAGGCTCCTAGTGATGGACGTCCGTATTTTGATGAAGAGAAAGAAGAGGTTTGTACAGGGTCCGTCGAGGATCAGGTGGGGAGCTTTGTCTAAGGATAATGCGCAAGAGTTGGAGGGGCAGCTAACAAATATGGGTGCCTGGAAGAGTGGTGGGGACACTA